ATTCCTCGAGATTAGCTTGTATTTTTTTTTCGTGTTATGTTTGTCATTGTGTTTTGTGTTAATAAATGTTATTGTTGAGTGCGCTGAATAATAATTCACCTATCACCAGTCCCGACAGTTGCTAACAAATCCATCTCTGTTATTAGAGTTCTGTCGAGTAGAAAGAAATTTTAAAAAACTGTGTCGATCAAAACGAAGAAAGTGTTTTTGCTAGTTGGAAGCCGTCTTGTCCATTTTTTTCTAGTCTCCGAAAAACATTGCAGCCTCATGGGCACATTGCTCCCATCATTTACTCTTTCACTTACCATTCTATCCCGTTATAATAACTACAAAATCGGTGCAGCAAAAAGTCATATTAACATATTTCCTAATACCATACTGTATAAATCGTTACATCTAACTCATATCAAATTATCGAATTGAATTGGCCCGAAGTGAAATTTTTTCAAGAGTTGATGCAGCAAAAAAAATCCTTTAGATATGTTAATTTACAAAGCGATTCGTGTCAAAATATTTGATATGAGATTTCGATTCGTGAGCTAATCTTTGTTAAACGTTTTGAAGTTTCAAACTATTAAAGATCCTAAGGCAGATCTCCCTGTATACCACGAATACGATATCAGGAGACTCGTTTCTATCGTATAATTTTCCTATGATGTCTTCATCTGATAGTATTATAAGGACTAATGCGGCTCATAGCCGTGTTTAAAAGAATGCAGTATATCATGTCATCTCAATAATATACGAGCTTTTTTAGGATGATTGTGTTTGTAACGAAATACTTCATTATATAATTTACATGATCTAGGGTTAGAGACTTATTTTAGGTGATGACAATCGGTTCATCACACAATGACATTTCATTCGTTCAAAACATCGGCCATTTGATGCTCGGCCAAGCCGGAAATCGCCTTTTTGTGCACTCGATAAATACAATTATTTCGAGATACGTCTAGCTGAAAAATTCAGACCTACATACTGATTTAGAGGCACCTGCATCGGAATACTTTTTGGCTATTCTGGTAATTGGTTAAAAAAACGAAAAGCTCAGACCAACTGAAATAGTTTCTTCATTTGATACATGACGAAAACCAGTGGGTTTTTATGTACCGGTGAGGTGAAATAGTCAGCCAAAAATGGGCAGCTTGCAAAGGTAATCAAATGGCAGTCATTATTAATTGTAAAAAACTTTTACGGTTCATAACTTCTTTACTGTTCAAAATGGAAAACCGTCAAAGAAATATACAAAATATTGGACATATTGAAATGATTTATGAATTATGTAAATATAACCGTCATTTTACTGACATTTTACTAACGTGTTAGGAACTACTCGTTAAAAGGTGAGACCTCGTTAATCCTCAGCTCGCACAAGTTTCGATTTCTGAGGGTTGTCGTTCGTAGGGATGCGACAGCTGGTTAACGGAAAAACAGATTTTAAACAGAGAGAAGATATCATAACAACGTTATTTCGAAGCCAAATGTTAGATGTTTAAGATACCTATATGCAAAATTTTTATTTCTTATGTATTATGTGTTTATGACCGTCATCTGAATATTTATTTTGGGTCATTGTATCCCAAAAACATCGAATATGAAAGTTGTGTTGTGTTGTGAGTTAATATTAATACGTATTTTTTCATTTCAGGCAATTCTACTTCCATAAAAATAATAATAATAATGATTGCTGGTGGTATTGAATATCACTTGAAGTTTATATGAAAACCAACATTTGTGAATCTAAAATAATAAAGAATGAATACTAACTCACCAAGTCATATACTCGTATGATATTGAAATTATCTTCCCCAGTCTCCCTTTTTAATACAAAAACTAATTCTGCGTGAAGATATCCACGCAATAAATATTAGAAATGAAAACAAATTAACTAAGCCACGACATCGCATTGCAGAGTTTCAGAAAACATCATTTGTTTTGGGTTATGGGAAAGTCTACAATTCATTGCTCGAGCAGCTGAATGGATTCAATATGAGAAAATTCAAATACAAATGTAAAAATTATATCTATGACAGTTAGTAATGTCAATTTTTGCTTATTGGACAAATCGATAATAAATAAGCAACAGATCAATTTGACTCATCACCGTCAATATTTTCTGTATGTTAAAGTTTATCATGGAGTGATGCTTTTTGGTTGAGTTTGAGTAGCTTTGAGCTAGATTTCGCCAATGAGTACCAGAATATCATGTTTTTCCCATTTCTCTCTGTATTTTTTTTCCATTTTCAATAAAGGTGATTCATTATTATTATTATTATATTCTGTCACGTTTCTTAGATGATTTTTCTGATAATATTTCATGCAGTCGATACTTTCATACACGTTTTTATACAGCTAAACTTTGATTCGGTATATTTTCATGCTTTCCTCATTATCTAAAAGGTAGGATTTTTTAACATCTATCTGACATACTTAAAATTTCCAACATATTTTGTACGTTCTTTTCAAGACGTATATATGATTCACGTTATTTTACGTTTGTACAACACCGGAAACTAGGACTTATCACCCCAAAAACAATGTATTATGGAAACGCCACATAATACTATCCATCATTTCCAAAGCGGAAGTCACACGTATACAACGTATACAGAAAAAATGTTCACCGGTTAATATCGATAACATATTTGGAAGAATGTGAAGATTGTACACGATTTTCTTTCAGGTGAAGTTTGAAAAACACACATTTGAAACATCAAATTTCCCTCATGGACATTAAATAACACCTATTCTTTCTCAATTCTTTAGCCAAACACTTGTAATGATAGTTGATATGTTTTTAAAATATGTTTTTTCCGTTAACCAGCTATCGCACCCCTACGAACTATAAACCTCAGAAGTCGAAACTTGTGCGGGCTAAGGACTAACGAGGTCTTACCTTTTAACGGGTGATTCTGATTCAGATATTATTCTTGTGAAATGCTTCAAAACTTCAAATAATTATCCAGATGAAAAATTGAAAGACACTGGACTCGGATGTTGAAAAAGTTTTCGATTCATTATAAACGTACCTTTGATTTCCCACAAAGATGTCGACAATATCGACATTCGTTTTTTGTGTCTCAAGGTCGTGTTTATTGGACCTTTTTTAGGATATATTAAAAAAATAAGCAAATCGCAATGTGTTTATAGGCCACTCTATATAGCAACATGCCTAGTCTGAGAATTCACTAGGAAATAACCAGAATCTAAGTTACTAATTTCATTTATCTGTTTTTGAAACAGCGCCAAGAACATTTTTTTCATGTTGTGGTCTTGGCTCGTTTAATTTATTCTGTTTTCAGGTGCCTTACCGCGGAAATCGGGGACTTAGCAGACGATTACAGCTTCAACAAACATAATGAATTATATTGTCTCGCTCATCCACATACACCACCTACAGATACGCATAATATAGAGGGTGATGCCGGAATAATCCTCATTTCGAGCAAAGTCGTAGCTTCTGCTGGTCGTCATTTCATAGATAACTTACGAATAACAAATAATTTTTTTTAATCATACCCCGAGTTCAGTACTCTGCGAATTGCAAATAATAACTCCAATATGCAACGTAAAAAGTTTCTCTCCCTTCTCTCGTTTTGAACGTGATCCCTTGAAATGATCCACTAGATCACCTGATATAACGCCACTAGATTTTTTGTACGGATTCGTGAAATCTAAAGTATACGCCACAGAACTGTTAACGATGAAATCACCCAAGAAACATTCCTCAATGTAAGCAATGAATTCATAAAAAGATTTTATCATTTTGCCATTTTCAAAATTCATTGGGAAAAACCGGAGTGATTTTGAATAAAGTATTGAAATTGAAATTAAGATGTTTATCGTTTGTTCGCAGATTCTCAAAAAGAATAATTTAATAATAATAATTTTTTATTATTTCCTTGTTAAAAAGTACATTGTTATACGTACAGTGACAAGGAAAACGTCTGAGGGTAGGAACAAGTCGTCAATTG